GAATATGCCCAGCAGATGGCTCTTTCCAACCACACAACGCTCCGTGCAAGCCCTGGAGCCCAAGGTCAGCATTTTCAAATCTTTTGTTCCTCTTCTGCATAGCGCCAGTGGCACTCTGGAAGAGCAGGAAAACATAATACGGTGCGGAAAGCATTGCTTTCCAGCCTGTGGGAGCTTTAGCTGGGATCTAATTTTTTCACGAATACTTGTCATAGTACTACACGTGCAAATGAGAGTTGTATTTACTGGGCGAGAATCACACCCCAGTTCTGCTCGAGTAAATCCGAAATAGCTCAGCTGTAGCCAGTGGGGATACTACAGATGGGAACAGCAGGAGAATTTGGCCCAATATTAAAATACCTTCATGTAGAAACAACATAGGAAAACCGAACTATGACCAGATTCCTTCATTATGGGCTAAACTGACTCTAAACGGAACCCTCTTAAGTTGGTGAAGTTACACAGGTGTGAAGGAGAGAGCACGCAGAAGCCAGCCTTGTTTGAACTACTTGATCCAGAAGGAACCATTTTGCATCTTATAAATAAATGCAAATTTATTTCCAATGAGCATCACTTTTAGGTACATATATCAGAATTAGAGATGAGCTTAGACCTGTAAGAGACCCGCTTCAAAGCTCCTTGATTTATTGGAAAGTTTAGACTGAATCAGACTTTTGCAGTTCAAGCATCTTCTCTTTAATAGGCTTAAACCGGAGTTACAAAATCAACCAAAACATGGAGGAACACTTAGTTCTATAACATGTCCTAAAAGCAAACCTGTTTTATGATCTTTCTGAATCTCAGAAGTTTAGATCCTATTACAGAACTGCACTTGATAACTCTGACTTAAAGTTGCTGATTTTAGAAAAGCCATATATATTGGAGCAAAACCTTCAAAATGTGGAGATTTTTTTTACTTGAATTGGAAAAACTTTCCAAGATGCACAGATTTATTCTGACTCGTTGAACTTTAGGCCTAGAAGACTGGAGCTTAACGTGATCTCCTAAAGGTCCTTCTTTAAATTTGCTGCCATTTCTGCTGACAGCTCAGGTCAGCATTTGGAAGGATGAGCAAAACATGAAGGAAAAGGTAACCTAAAAATATGTTTCAAAGAAATTTCTTAAGGCATATATGTTGGGGCAATGGGAAGGAATACCATTCCCTAATTGTTTCCCCCTACTCTGTTAATTTTGGGCTTACTCCTCTCTGATGTCCAACCTAATCACAGTTGAGGTAATCCTCTCTTTCTAGCTCTACTAAATCTTTCCTTCTTCTGAAAGTTGCACCACTTCTTTACTTTTCCAGGATATACTATCTGGCACTAGGGGGGAAATACAAAAGCAAGGGGTAACACTGCAGCTGAGTTGATATCTTCTACATTCAACCAACTATTGAAAACTGATCAATTTTTTTTTCTTGTATTAACCATTTCACACTTTCCTTTGAAATGTAGGAGGCTTATGAATTGCAAGAGCTATGCTGTAAGTGTGAGTTACTTGCGCTTTTACCCCTTTCAGAATGAAGTCATCACCTGCATCAATAAACCTCCAGAGCTATTTTTGGTATGTTCCCCTGGGCTCAGTGCCTCCTGGGGGTTCTTCTGAACCTCGCCGTGATGCCTTCTGTGGGCTCCATGGCAGGTCTAGGCAAAATGTGCTTAACAGTGCTGCCTGAGAAATATATTGTGCTCTGGAAACAGTGATCCAGCATAACTCATTTAATATTCTGAAACTATTTTTTTGACTCTGCTGTGGTTTATACAGGTATTTAACGTTTTCTGATCCATGATCTTGCTAGTAATTGATGCTTGGTAAGGACATAAATGCTGTCATGAAAAGAACTAAGCTGGTGATGGCTTAGCTTGGGTCCCTCTTCCCTCTGATAACAAACATAGTTCTGGCACCCTTCCACTTCCAGAAAGCTGAGTAACAAAAGTTGCTGCCCTTCTCAGAAAACCTGACAAGGAAAGGGATTTGGTGGAGCTGTCAGAAATGGGGAGGCTAAAGTGAAGCTCACAGATTGTTACTTAGGTATTTAGGGACAGGAACAAGTGGACTGATGTGAAAAAAAAAAAAAAGAAAGGAAAAAAAAAAAGCCATTTCTGCTGCATGGTCCTGACCATTTAATTTGTGCAAAGCACATGCCAAGGTTTCAGGCAACAGAATTGCTCAGATCATTTCCTACCCGCTTTGCAGAGCGGCAATTAGCAACACAGTGGCATTGACAAGACAGCTTTACACGAGCTTTCAAAGTGAAAACGTGAAGAATCCCTAAAAGACCAACTACTTGTTAAAATGTGAGAGGGAAGCTCTAGGCCTGATCCCTTGGAGGCGGGCGCGAGGCTTTGCCCGCAGGCAGCGTGACCGTCAGAGCCACCCGCCACCCTCCCCAATCCCCGCGCCCCCCTGGCTCCCCCAAGGAGGGGGAACCTCCACCTCCTGCCTGCTGCTCTGGACCTGCGCGTTGCCTGTCTTGCACGGGGATGGATGCTGTGCGTCTCCGAGTGCCCTCTCATCCACATTCGCCGTAAACACCCCGAACACCTGTTTACTCTGACTCACCCACTCCTCACGCAGACTCTCCCTTTTTTTGACAGCAGACCTCACTCAGGTAGTATGTGCTGCTAATATCCTTTCAGGACCGTGTAATAACATGCCTTCTATCCAATTCCTAACATCCTTCAATCAGCTCAGCCAGTGGGCTAACTGCTTACGCTCCTGTGATTTATATAAGTGCAATTAATTTAAACTGCATCACTCGGGTGTTATGCTGGTGAAAATGCCCCGAGAGGGAGTGCCTCACTGGTGAATCAGACCCTTTGCTTCTAACAAACATACAAAAGAACAGATCCCGAGCCAGTGAAAATCTGCATGGCTCCATTCATTTCAACACACAAACTTAAACCAGCTCAAGGTCTGAATCACAGCTCATGTAACAGACTATTTAGATACAGACTAATGCCTCACATCCTGAAATGCAATGCTTTCCCAGAGCTGGCAGGGAATGGGGACTTCTCAGATGGAACAGAGCTGAGAGGGGAGCAGGACCACAAATGCAACCTTTTAAGAATGCTTTGTGGATTTCTTCATTTCTGTGGAGTTGAGGAAAGCCATGGCTTGTGTCTCTGCAAGCATTGCTCTCCCCCCTGCGAAGAGCTGCATCTGTTCCTCCACCCCAGCTGCAAAGCAAGTACCTGGGAAGTCCCTTTCCTCGCCACTTTCCCTTTCCTCCCATAGCCTGGGTGTGTTCCCTGCAGCCTGGAAATCCATGTGACACCTTCCACTGACAGACAGCAGAGTTAGATGCTGAACAGCTGAATCTTTTTAATCAGTCCTTGAAAATGGCTAACTTTCCCTGCACTTGTTTTGGCATCCCCGAGATTAAGAAGTCATGCAGCTTGACAAAGCACTTTACTTTTACGTGTCTTAACAGAACCAGAGAGTTTGGTTTTTTGCTGTTTTGGGTTTAGGGTTTGTTTTTTTTTTTTTTCCACATCTATTCCAACACCTGCTGCAAAAAAGGGCTGGGGTGGTCTCTCTAAAACACCCCTCCGCGCCGCCTCCCGACAGGACAGAGCCCTAGCGGCAGCAGCATTCAGCTGTCCGTATTTTCAAACTGCAAATATTTTAAAATTAACAAACCTATCTGTGACTAACCATCGCCTCTAAATCAATCCAGATAACCAGAAAATTCTGTGGCACACTGAAGAGACTTTCATCCTAAATGAAATACATGATACAGATTATACCTTCGTAGGAAATAAGGAGGTCCTAAATATACTAATGCAGAAGGACGTTTAAGAGACATTTAAATTACCCAGTCTGTAATTTGGGGGGGGTTGCTTATCTGTGCATCTTTTAACTGCTTTGGATAATTAGGAAAATTTCCTTGGCAGTGCTCTAAGAGGATAGGCAAAAGAGTGACAGGACTACTCCCAAGGAAGGAAAGGTCGAGGGTTTGCATTCTGCAGATTTTTAAAGTAGGAAAGAAAGTGTTTCTTCCTTTGAACAGTCTGAAGCAGCATGCATATTACAGAAAACCCATCACCCTGCTCTGAAATGTCATCTTTTCCAGGGTTTCTCCCTCTCCTTGAACTCACTTGCAGTATCTCGCTGGCCCTTCTGCCTGGAAGGGTGCAGGTTAGGGAGGCAGGCTGCTTGGCTCCAGCCTTTCCTAGATGCAACTATTCAAAGGCAGCTCCCAAATGGAGCAGTCAGTTCAAAGGCTTCCATTAGCTCTGCCGGCTAACTTGTTATCTTGTAATGTCCCCCCGCTTCTGCCCTTAATGAACGGTTTGTTCCATTGTAATTCTTATATCAAACATCTGGAAACCAGACTCATTTTAAAAAGAAAAAAGAAAAAAAAAAAAAAAAAAAAAAAAAAAAAAAAAAAAAAAAAAAAAAAAAAAAAAAAAAAAAAAAAGACATTTCAGTGCCTATGACTTAGCCAGGCCTCTGTCAGAAAATAAAAAAAGAATTCAGCTGAATCAGTAAACTGACGTTTTGGGTTTTTTTAAAGCACTTTGACCAATGCATTTTTCTAGACCAAAATTCTACAGGGCAACATACACCCACTTTGTAGCAGGATAACGCGCTCTGACCACAGCTTGCTCCTCTGTTCACAGCTGTCTCCAGCGGGAGGAGCTGAAACCTGAACCAAACCCTCCGAGCAGGGATTGGATCCCTCCTGCCAGCAGCCAGAGAGCCCTCCCAGAAAAACAGCCTGTTTGGAAAAGTGCTTGAGAACATCCCGAAGTGATTGGAGGAGCGGAAAACCCTTCCCCCCTGCACCTGACGAGTGGGTATTTACAGCACTTTTCAAGGCGCCTCTGCACTGCCACTACACGACCACAGTGGATGGACTGCGCGGGGCAGGCGGCGCGGGAGGGACCGATGCGCTGGCAGTGATCGCGTGTGCGTGTGTGTGCTGCACGCCGGCCGGGGACCGCTACGCCGACCCACGAGGAGAGCCTGGAAGAAGGAGAAGCCCTGCCTCCAAAATGCCGCGCTCCTTCCTGGTCAAGAAACATTTCAATTCATCCAAGAAGCCAAACTACAGCGAACTGGACACTCATACAGGTAACAGAACGAAATCTAATGCCACCGCGTTGCTCCTGAGGTCGCGGTTGTTGCATGGCGGTAATGAGGAGGGGTGGGCTTGCTTTTCGGGCTTGAGGGAATGGGTTAGTTCATTGCTAGCTCCTTTTTCTTTTGCTTACAAGGAGGGAGTTTTGAGAAATATGTCAACGCTGCCTGGAATGAATCATAAAGTTAGCTCATCCACTTGAACTCAGTTACGTAGAGAGGGTTTGGAGTTTTCCTGTTCTGTGTCTGCTGGTGGTGGAATTGAAACTTTTGTACAAATCCTTCAGGAAGTTTCACTGCTTCATTGTATCAGGCTGCACAGTCTGAGAAACAGCATGCTGCCTTGGCGAGACTCTCCAGCTGTAATTTGCCTGTTCAAGGGCACTGTCCCTACCCATCAGAATATATCTGTGAAATAGTATTTCCTTACTCCTCCTTATATTCAGATGACCGTGCTGAGTGTTCAGTTTATGCACCTTTTCATCCCCAAAGTGTTAATTTTGCTGCCTTTTGAAAGACTTGTTTGTTCTCTTACCTTAAAATTTTCTTCTTTCTCCAGTGATTATATCCCCATACCTGTATGAAAGCTATCCAGTCCCTATCATACCACAGCCAGAGATCCTGAGCTCAGTAGCTTACAATCCCATTACTGTGTGGACTACAACCGGGCTGCTACCATCTCCATTACCCAACGACCTCTCTCCGCTTTCTGGATACCCCTCATCTTTGGGACGAGTCAGCCCACCTCCACCTTCTGACACCTCCTCCAAAGATCACAGTGGTTCAGAAAGTCCCATTAGCGATGAAGAAGAGAGAATCCAGTCCAAGCTTTCAGACCCCCATGCAATCGAAGCCGAAAAGTTTCAGTGCAGTTTATGCAACAAGACCTATTCAACTTTCTCTGGGTTGGCCAAACATAAGCAGCTGCACTGTGATGCCCAGTCTAGGAAATCGTTCAGCTGCAAGTACTGTGACAAGGAGTACGTCAGCCTGGGAGCGCTTAAGATGCACATCAGGACCCACACGCTACCTTGTGTCTGCAAGATCTGCGGCAAGGCTTTCTCTAGACCCTGGCTACTTCAAGGACACATTAGAACTCACACTGGTAAGAACAACCACTACCATTGCAGTTTCTTGCTCCTATAACATCAGGATGCCCTTTTGCTATTTTTCTCCACAGGTGGAAAAAAACAGCAGTGTTTCTTTACTAACCTTAAAATGCATGTGCAGAATTTCAAATGTATCATCAAAAGGCTAAATTCTTCCTCTTGGGGGGCGGAGGGGGGCAGGGGGGCATGGAGCAGGGTCTCATAACCATGGACCAGATACTGGCATAAATCAGCACTGCTGCCTTGATAATTTTAGGATGGTTTAACCCATTTCCACTAGCTGAAGGTTCTGCTTTAAGGATTTTATGTTAACTTTCAGGCTTTGGAAATTGCTAACTTTGAGAAGGCTCCAGCTGACCCTGAAATCAAGCAGCAAAACAGAAAGGCAGTGCATGAGGGGCTGCTTTCTGACTCCTTAAGCAATTGGCAAGTTTTCCATGTGCTATCTCAAGCCCTTAAGAATTAGAAACACATCACCACCAAAGCGGTCTTTTTTTTTCTGCTAAGGCAAAAACTTGGTTTTGAGTATAACACTGGGTAACAATGTGATGTCTGTACTGCTGTTTGCTGCTCTTCAGTCAAAGCCCTTGTCCCCAGTAATTCACACAACACTAAGCAGGAAAAGTTCTGTGAAAATATTTGAAAACTTTGGGGGGAGCCCAGCCTAAAAGTACTGCCTGCACCTGTAGATGCAGAAGGTGTCAGCAGCTTGTCTTCGGGGACTGCACTTAGCAGCATATTCTGAAAAGACTGAGCTCTGCAAGTACAGTCAGCAGTGCTGAAAGCTGTTGTATCTGTGGCCTGATTATCGTTTTCTTACACATTCTTTATTATAACAAATCTTTTTCTGTTTGTTTGCTTGTTTCTGAGGACAAAAGCAGGTTCTACCTGTCCTAAACATGTATACTTCTTTTTTTAAAGCTTTATCCTATTTTCCCTTGATGTTTCCTTTTTAGGAGAGAAGCCGTTTTCCTGTCCTCACTGCAACAGGGCTTTTGCAGACAGATCCAATCTGAGGGCTCATCTGCAGACCCACTCAGATGTGAAGAAATACCAGTGCAAAAATTGCTCCAAAACTTTCTCCAGAATGTCTCTTCTGCACAAACATGAGGAATCTGGCTGCTGTGTAGCACACTGAGTCATGCAGTCAATGTTTACCTGGACTCGATGCATTTCTCCACTCCTGTTCCAAATGATAAGTGGAAATCCAAAGGCGTTTTCTCGTCTACTTTTCAGCCAAAAAAACCCCAAACACCACCAAACAAGCAAGCAAACAAACAAAATAGTGGAAGAACGTAGAATGTCAGTAGAAATGAGCTTTAAGTAGTTTCTGTGCAGTTGCACATTCGCATTCTTAAGTGTGAATTCTGAAATATGGGGAAAGACACCATGCATGACATTTCAAGTAGATCTAAAGGAAGAAGCATTATCAGCTTTCTTTGTAGATGAAGCCAAATGTAGGTCGTCTTTTCTTGCTTAGAAAAGGCTGCAAAGTTAACAATACATTCCTGCCAAGCCATTTCAACCAAAGAAACAGTATTTTAAGTGGAACTTTTAATAAAAATACTACCCAAGTGAATTTTGCTAGACACCATTTATCTCAGGTGCCTTAAAAAGTATTCCAAGTTTACTTTAGTAAATGTTTAATATTATTCATTGCTGTGTTTTTTATTTTATTTTATTAGAAGCCAAGGCCTTCATTAATGATCTGAAATGCTTTAAAGCTGCATAATTAAGAGAGGAAAAAAAAAAACATGTAAGAGAATGTACGAAAAATTGAAAGTCACAAATTAACCGCATGTGCCTTCTTTGAAAAAGGAAAAAAAAAAAGCAAAAAAAAAAGACTGTAGCTTCAAACATTCCTGGTGCATGCTTGACCATCTTTTAATATGGAATAGTTCCTCTAAACTTTAATCTTTTTTTAAAACCGGGAATAAGTGCAAGAGAGGGGATTCACGGGAGTTTGACAGTTATTTTTTTTTAAATGCACAAAGGAAATGCAATATTTTCAGCATTACCCCTCCAAGTGCCTTTTTTGTTGATGATTTTGTAAAGTATGTGGATATATTGTAAATATTTTTATTTTTATATGATTGAATGTGTTATGAATGAAAGTGAATTGTTGCCTATAGCAGCATCTATAGATAACTTGAAGAAAGTGTGAAGTGAAATCTATGTTGTTTTCTAGCCACTTTTTTACAATAAACATTTTTAAGTAATGTTTCTGTTGTTTGTTCTAATTAAAGAAAACAACCATGTCTGGTTTATCGAGGTTTTGGAACATAGAAAAATGCAAGTGGCTCTACATAACCATATGAAGACAAAAGTGAATTTTCTGATGCGAGTCCTTAGTTCACAAGTACTGAACATTAGAAAAGAATACACATATTTGCATTTTAAAACATTTAAAATGGTACAGAGCATTTTTTTTGAGTCACTGCTTTAAAACACTGTTGCTTTTTTTGCTATTTAGAACAGTACCACAACATTGTGAAGTGTATTTTATCAAAAACATTTTAAAAGAAACTTCTTTCTTGCATTTTAACAGTTGAAAGGATGCTATTAGAGCAGCCTTATTATAGTGCTTTTCCTGAGACTGACATTAGGAAATCTGGGCCTGATCCAAAGTTCATTAAAGTCACTGGAGCCTTACAGGGTTCAGAAATGTTTGTGTAATTCTCTTTTAAAGTAGTGGTCAAGTCACAGTACGATATACCTTATATGATCATTTCAGAAAGATTAAAGATATTTTTAATTCAAGTATCTTACATATCAGAACTGTCAAGTGACGTATTATGACTGTATATCAACTAATATATCACAGGAAAGGCTTATCCAGTAATAAAAAGTAGAATTATTTTTCTTCTGATGATTTAACTAAGGACTCCAAGATCTGAACTACATAAAAGCATTACAACATCAACAAATCATGTTTCATCATTACTGACTAGTGCAAAACAACACTACTTTCAACTTCTAACGAAGCACAAAGCTTGAAACCAGATAAGCACTACTTGGCATCCAATCTGAAGCCAGCTATGTCTACATTAGGGTACCAGCAGGGGCAAGTAATAGCAAACCCAAAATTCCAACAGTTTAACGATAATATTACAGCTGGATGAACACAAGGTGCAAATTTCTAGAAAAAAGAGTACTTTTCAGTAAAATAATGCAACAGGTCATTCATGCCTTGTGTCTCCTCCAGCTGAGCCCTGGAGAGGATTGCTTCCGCAGGAAATCAGCAGGACTGCACTGGAGTAACTTAGGCAACAGGCACAAGATTGATGTTTTGTACCTTTTCCACATGGGAAGCACTGTAATGAAAAAAGGTCAGCTCTAATGAAGTTTTCCGTATTCTCCAAGCATCTTCTGACAAAATCTCAAGGTTATAACAACCATTCCCTAGGACCTGTTAGATTTTTTTCAGGAAATAGCCAGAGAGTTCAAGAAAGATAGGGTTAGTGGGAATTTGTGAGGTAACATTTCAAATCGAACACATGAAGGCATCAAATACCCTTGAAAAGTTTCATGTGGTTACTCTATTGATTTGCACTTCCATGTCATTTGCTTTGAAGTCCTTAGGCTCCAGCAGCAATTTGTGCAGCTTTCTCTTCCCAGAGCAAAGTTTACCAGCGTATGGGTAAAGCTCTGGCAGTCAACAGCTATTTGTACTGTCAAAGTTCTAGGTTTGCTCTCCTGTGTCATGTCACAAAGGCTTTTCCATTGTTTTAATTCACACTTGAAATTCTCTACACCCATAGTAAATGAAATAGCATAAGAGCTTGACTTCTTGAATGAGTGGAAATTCTACTGTTGTCCTTAAGGGAAATCAGATGAAAACTTCATCAAAATACAGTATGCTAAACCAAACACAAGTGGAACTGGTCTGATTTGGAGATGACAATTAAGATATGCTACTTTGCATGCCTGTAACACCTGTACTCATAAAACACAAAGATGGGAAAGACTGGAAGCTCTTCTGGCTCATCTCTTTAATTGAAACAGTGCTCTATCACAGATTATTAGCTCGCTGTCCAGTTGCAGCATAAACTTCCCAAGCAGCTGAATTTCTCTTGCTTTTCCTGTGAGACTGCTTTTATTTGCTGTCAGGAAATTTATCCAAAACATTTTCCATTCACAAGTTTACCTTAGTACTTTAGAAATGCCCTTCTGTACCTGCACAAGCTATTTATCAATGTAAATTGAATTCTGTTCTGAGCTGCTGGTTGATGACTCCTGTGCCTTTCTCAAAACCTGAGGGAAAAGCTCCCTCCATGGTGAATCTACCCATTGAATGTCTTTGGCCATTGCTACATTTCTTACAAGACATCTCTGATTCTATATCCAAATAATCAACTTCTTAAATATTTCTTAGGAAAACAGGCTTCCTGCACTCCAAATATCTTCGTTGTTCTTTTCTGAAATCAATTACATTTTTAGTTTTAATTTTTGACACCAGTGCTAAATGTAGTTCTTTTAAGTGAAAAGTTGAGTTGTGAAAAAGCCAGCCTCTCCTCTAATGGCACCTGCATGATAGCAACCTATATACAACAGATTTCTTTTTTTAACTCTTCACTAATGAGTTGCTTAAAATCAGTAGATCTAGGGAAGGGACTTTTGCCCAGAGGTTACTCCAAATGTTCTAAGTATATACTTTTTTGGTTATATGACTGCCCATTATAGGGAATAAGACCTAGATCCTTTCTTTAGTGTGTTCTGGCAATTTACTTTCAACTCCTGAATGTGCAGAGAAGAGCTGAACCACCAGAGCATATGTGCAGTTACAAGTCAAATGTATGAGTTCTTCAAGGCTGAAGGCAATAACTGATTAGCTTTGTTTTCCTCTTTTCTCTTCCCTTGTGTCTGTTTGGGCGTGCTTTTCACCTCAGAGGCTGCAGAATGAAGTAAGATGTGCACAAAATTAAGACAGAACAAAGTACACATTTATGCTCAAAGCACTGCAGTTATGCTACTATCTAATGTGGAGTTCAGAAAAGCATCTTATGCACTCACCAAGAGGTTAAGATAAATGCCTCTCACATTAAGGCACCATGAAATCTGTCTTCTGTATTTTACTCTATTATTTGGATTATTACAGTTACTGTTGTCATTAAGCAAGCTCAGGGCCTATTACTCTAAGCTCCATAAAATCATGTAAAAAGAAGCACCCTAAAGATCACATAATTTCAATTTTAAAAGGTAGGACAATGGGAAACCTGGTAATTTAATTCTCATGTATTGTGCTACACCTGATTTCCCCTGACACAAAACCAAATCAATATTTCATCTTAAAATATATTTTTATTTTTGAATAAGACATTTTCAGTGATGAACATTACTGCTTTAGAAATAATGTTTTTTACTAGCTGTCCCAGATTTTTGCTTTTTTTTCTCTTTAAAGAAGGTGTTTTAGCAGTTAAAATATATAAATTTTAATTCTGGTTCACAGAAACATAAAGAGTGGAATGTGAGAAGCACACTCCAACCTGCATGTATTGTAGTATCAAATGGCAGCTGCAAGAAATAAGAACAGACAGGGCAAGTGAAATCACAGAGTCAAAGAATGGTTATGGGGGGAAGGCACCTCTGGAGGTTGCTTAGTCCAACCCTCCTCTCAAAGCAGGGTCAGCAGAGTAGTTTACCCAAGACAATCCAGTTGAGGTTTGAATAGCTCCAAGAATGGAGACTCCACAACCTCTCTGGGTAACCTATGGCAGTGCTTAGTCACCTTACAGTAAAAAAGTTTTTTTCTTACATTTCAATGGAATTTCCTGTATTTCAGATGGTGTGCACTGCCTCTTGTCCTGTCACTGGGCAATACTAAGAGTCTGACAGTCTTCTTTACTCCGTCTCATCAGGTATTTATACACATTGAGAAGAGCTCCCTTGATTTTTTTCTTCTCAAGCTGTCTCAGTCCTCCCATATGAGAGGTGCTCCAATCTCTTAATTACCTTTGTGGTCCTTCATTGGACTCCAGTATTCTCATGCCCACCTTGCACTGGTGAGCCCAGAACGGGACCCAGCACTGCAAAAGGGCTTTGCCATTGCTGAGTAGAGGTGGAAATACCACTCAGTTTCTGATGGGATGCTGATAGGATGCATAAAGGTTGTGGAAACCGTATAAGCCATAACAGTAG